GGGAGGGGGAATGTCTGATAGATAATAATGGAACACCAATTCTCTCTAAATTACCTTTAAACGTTTATGTCAATATCTATCAAAATCCGCCCCCCCCCTTTTTTTTTGATAGGGTAGGAAGAATTTACCAAGTTAATTCTAAAGCTCTCTGGGAAAATTAAGTGGTCACTCGTTAAAAGAACTTTTCAATAGAGAGAAACAAGAGGAGATTTAAACTGTCTGTTATTGAAACACATAAGGCCGCAACAATTACAGTTAAACAGAAAAGTCCATGAAAGAGGTCAGAAAGCCCAGAAATCAATGCATATTGAAATACAATAAAGATGGCACTTCAAGTCAGTAGAAAAGAATGGACTATGTAAGTCTTAGGGAAGCAGCACAGCACAACGTGCAAGGGAACAAACAGCCTGTGGGGCTGGACAGGCTGGACTGGATGGTAACTAGTGCAGCATGTGCAGCTGGGTGACCCTGGATGACAAGTGTCCTTATCTGTAAAATCAAGATAGTCATTATATCTACTTCACAGGATTGTTGCGAGGATTATCAGTTATCATTTGCAAGGTACTTAAAACAGGAAGTAATACAGTAAGCACTGTATATGTGATGTTAAATAAGTAAAAGAAAGCAATTTATGCTAAGACAATCCTTAAAGTCCTGGGAGCAGGGAGGAGGGAGACAAGGGGAGCAAAACCTCCCATCACACCACATTAAAAAAATAAACTAGAAGATTTATAAAAGTGAACAATAAAAAACTAAATTGGGGAAAAAAGACTATCTCATCTCTTGGATTGGGGAAGACTTTTTAAACATGACAGCATATTAAATATGACAGCAAAGTCAATCAAGAAAACAGATTAATACATTTGACTACATAAAGATTTTAAAAATCTTTATATCCAACACTAAGAATTAAGAAGAAATATAAAGCTTCAGGAAAAATAAAGGTTGGTATGTATATAATAAATATTCTTACAAATCAGTAAGAAAAAGTACATGATCAAGCAATTCAAAAAAAGCTCTGCCTGTATATATGAGAAAACATGGAACACTATCACTAATCAAAAATTCACATTTTTCACCACTTAAATTGGTCAAACTTTTAGAAAAAATTATATTGTTGCCTAATATGCAGAGAAATTTGTACCTTTCTATATGGAAGACTGAAGAATACACTGAAACCCACCCTTCCAGGGGTCACTTTGATTATATGCTTCAAAAAATCTTTAAAATATTAAGCCCCTTTGACCTAGTAATTCCATTTCTAGGACAAAGCTGGAACATAAGGATTTCAATGGAAAAGTTTCAAGTCACTTTTTCAGAGATGAACCAGAATCAAGGAAAAACAGAATGCGAAGAAATATTTTAAGTTTCAGATATAAAGCTAAGAATTTTCACGTTCTAAAAATTCAACACCTGTTTCACTGTATAATTAATGTTTAATATTACCAAATTAAAAAAAAAAAGTTTTAAAAAACAAACCTTTTAACAGCATCCTTCTTCTGAATATCTATAGTTTCCCACCACTTTGAAAGGTAAGAGATCTCAGACCACATAAATTTCCTCCGTGGGTCTTCTTTCAACTTGATGACCATGTTATTAAAAATATACTGAGTCTTCTCTCGAAAGTAGTCATCAAAAGTCTTCAACCAACCTAAATTAAGACACAAATATACCACAAAGGTCTGATTCATATGTCTGATTTAAACTGTCACATTCCATTGCCATTACCCTTGCATAACCTCACGTTTCATTCATATAAAGACATATTTAAAAATTTAGCAAACGTTTTCAGTTAATGAAATTCCACTTAAATGGATGTGAGACTCAAAAAGCCACTAATAGGGCTTCCCTGGTGGCGCAGTAGTTGAGAGTCTGCCTGCCGATGCAGGGGACACGGGTTCGTGCCCCGGTCCGGGAAGATCCCACATGCCGCGGAGCGGCTGGGCCCGTGAGCCATGGCCGCTGAGCCTGTGCGTCCGGAGCCTGTGCTCCGCAACGGGAGAGGCCACAACAGTGAGAGGCCCGCGTACCGCAAAAAGTCGTAGTTGTACTGAGAATATAGACTGATGAAAGCTATGAATTCTTACTCCAAAACTGTAGTCATGAAAACACACATTTTATTTATTTATTATTTATTTATTTTTTGCGGTAGCGGGCCTCTCACTGTTGTGGCCTCTCCCATTGCGGAGTACAGGCTCCGGACGCGCAGGCTCAGCGGCCATGGCTCACGGGCCCAGCCGCTCCGCGGCATGTGGGATCTTCCCGGACCGGGGCATGAACCCGTGTCCCTTGCATCGGCAGGCGGACTCTCAACCACTGCGCCACCAGGGAAGCCCGATTTAAGGAATTTTTTAAATTAAAAAAATCTGAACAGTGTTGACAAGTTGACAGTAATATTCTCATAATATGGAATCAAAATTTTATCCTCTCTCATACCACATCTAAAATTTCCTATCCATTAAGTAACCTAAACTAAGAAAAAGAAAATCACAAGTACAAACTCTCCTGAAAAGCCAGCAGCAGAGCAATAATCAAACAACAAATATGTACACATCTATGTAAAGTTGTTTTCAAAAAAGAATTGATGTTGACAACTTAGTTCTTTGACTTTTCCTACTGCATCTCAAAGATCCTGGAAACTTTATCTAAAGACATTTGCAATTCAACTATAAAGAAATATTTTTAACAAGACCCATGGTTCCAAATACAGCCCCATCCAGCAGAGTAATAAAGCAACGTGATGAGTGGCTGAAGCAAAACATACACAGGCACCAATTCCACCTACTGGTGGGACACAAAATATACCCTGCTGAGCATAACCTCTTATCTATGAAATCTGAAAGGAAGGGGAGTTTCTATAGAGACAGGCTTAAATACTGTGCTATTGTTACCAAGCCTCAAGCATATGGGAGGTCTAAGATACAAGGGATACAACTGGCTATTTCTTTTGTCTGTCTACAATTAAGTGAATATTCAATGCATACTGTATTTGCTGGCAAAAAATAACAAAAACCTACGAGGGCTGAGCCGGCAATATACTATTCTGACAATGCAAATATGAGCCTCTAAAGGGCACTGCCAGTGTGACTATATTTCTCCCTTTTGCTTTAAGTGAAATCTATTCATTCTACGGTTATTTACTGAGCACCTACAAAGTGACGGGTATGAAGCTATGAGCCAAATAGGAATATAGTGTATAATATTCTTTATAGGACTTTCTTGATCTGGGGCACTTTTAAGCTGGTTTGTCACCAAAGAATACTACCTGAATAATTCAACTTTTTCATGTTTAAATAAAAAGCCTGTACCTACAGAAAACGCAAAGATGTCTCATAAAATAGTGGTTTACAAGAATTCCATCTTGCTTCACAAAGGTACAACCTAGACCCTGTCCCAGAGTACTGAGGCCAGGATCCACATCTGGATTCCCAGGGACAAGCAAAGAAAATTCCTTAAATGGAGATGCCCTAACTCCCTGCTGACCATGCAGCACCCCTGAGAGACAAAAAATATCAAGTGCTCAGACCTGAGCCCAGTATATAATATAGCACTTAATAATAATAATAGCTGCTGCTACTATTATTATTATCATAATCATCATCAGTTTTTAATTGCCCCTTCCACATCTCTAAAATCAAACTGGGTCAAAGGAGAAATAAAAAATATTCCTAACATCTAATTTTGAAAGAGTATACAATTTATTTAAAACATTAAATAAATTGCTCCACATCTTAAACATATTGGTTACCCAACACTGCAATTTGCATAGAATTCATTTTATGCCCCCATTATGGGCTGAATTGTGTCCCCCTGAAACTCATATGTTGAAGTCCTAACACCCAGTAACACCCACTTCAGAATGTGACTGTATTTGGACGTATGGTCTTTAAAGAGATAATGAAGGTAAAATGAAGTCATGAGAATGGGCCTTAATCCAATACAGGCATAACTCGTTTTATTGCACTTTGCTTTATTTTGCTTCACAGGTGTTGCATGTTTTACAGATTGAAGGTTTGTGGCAACCATCTGTCAAACAAATCGATCAGTGCCATTTTTCCAACAGCATTTGCTCACTTTGTGTCTCTGTCACATTTTGGTAATTCTCATAATATTTCAAAATTTTTAATTATTATTATATTTGTTACCATGAACTGTAAGCAGTGATCTTTGATGTTGCTGCTGCAGTTGTTTTGGGGGTGCCATGAACCACACCCACATAAGACAGTGAACTTAAACAATGTTCTGACTGCTCTACAGGTCATTCCCCATCTCTCTCCCTCCCCTCCAGCCTGCCTATTCCCTGATACAAAACAACATTGAAATTAGGCCAATGAATAACCCTGCAATGACCTCCAAGTGTTCGAGTGAAAGGAAGAATCACATGTCTCTCACCTTTAATCAAAAGCTAGAAATGATTAAGCTTAGTGAGGAAGGCGTGTCGAAAGCTGAGAGAGACTAAAAGCTAGACCTCCTGCACCAAACAGTTAGCCAAGTTATGAATGCAAAGGAAAAGTTCTTGAAGGAAGTGAAAACTGCTACCCAATCAACACATGAATGATAAGAATGCTAAACAACCTTATTGCTGATATAGAGAAAGTTTTTGTGGTCTGGATAGAAGATCAAACCAATCACGACCTTCCCTTAAGTCAAAGCCTAATAATCCAGAGCAAGGCCCTAACTCTCTTCAATTCTATGAAGGCTGAGAGAGTTGAGGAAGATAAAGAAGAAAAGTTTGAAGCTAGCAGAGGCTGGTTCATGAGGTTGAAAGAAAGAAGCCAACTTCCTAACATAAAAGTGCAAGGTAAAGAAGCAAGTGCTGAAGCAAGATATCCAGAAAAATCTAGCTCAGATAATGAACGAAGGTGGCTACACTAAACAAGAGATTTTCAATGTAGATGAAACAGCCTTCTATTGGAAGAAGATGCCATCTCGGACTTTCTTAGCTAGAGAGGAGAAGTCAATGCCTGGCTTCAAAGCCTCAAAGGACAGGTTGACTGTCTTGTTATGGGCTAATGCAGCTGGTGACTAGTGAAGTTAAAACCAATGCTCATTCACCATTCTGAAAATTCTAGTGCCCTTAAGAATTATGCTAAATCTACTCCACCTGTGCTCTATAAATGGAAGAGCAAAGTCTGGATAAGAACACATCTGTTTACAATACGGTTTACTGAATACTTTAAGCCCATTACTGAAACCCTGTACTCAGAAAAAAAGATTCCTTTCAAAATAGTACTGCTCATTAGCAATAGTCACCTGGTCACCCAAGAGCTCTGATGGAGACGTACAACGAGATTCACATTGGTTTCATGCCTGCTCACACAACATCCACTCTGCAGCTCATGGATCAAGTAGTAATTTTGACTTTCAAGTCTTATTCTTTAAGAAATACCTTTCATAAGACTATAGCTGCCACAGACGGTGATTCCTCTGCTGGGTCTAGGCAAAGTCAACTGAAAATCTTCTGGAAAGGACTTGCCATTCTAGATACCATTAAGGACCTCTGCGGTTCATGGGAAGAGGTCAAAATATCAACATTAACAGGATTTTGGAATACGTTGATTCCAACCCTCATAGATAACTTTGAGGGATTCAAGACTTCAGCAGAGGAAGTCACTGCAAATGTGGTGGAAAAAACATGAGAACCAGAATTAAATGTGGAGGCTGAAAATGACTGAATTGCTGCAATTTCCTGATAAAACTTTAAGGGATGAGGAGTTGCTTCTTATAGATGAGCAAAGAAGTGGTTTCTTAAGATGGAATCTACTCCTGATGAAGATGCTGTGAAGACTGTTGAAATAACAACTAAGGATTTAGAATATTATATAAATGTAGTTGAAAAGGTTTGAAATGACTGACTCCAATTTTTAAAGAAGTCTTACTGTAGGCAAAACGCTATCAAGCAACATTGCATGCTACGGAGATATCATTCATGAAAGAAGGAGTCGACGCAGCAAACTTCACTGTCATCTTATTTTAAGAAACTACCACAGTCACCCCAGCCTTCAGCCACCATAACCCTGATCAGTCAGCAACCAGCAACATCGAAGCAAGACCCTCTACCGGCTGAAGACTGATGATGCCTAGCACTTTTAAGCAATAAAGTATCTATTAATTAAGGTCTGTATGTTGTTTTTTTAGACAATGTTATTGCACTTTGAATACAGTATAGTGTAAACAAAACTTTTATATGCACTGGGAAAAAATTCGTGTGACTCACTTTATTGCAGTGGTCTCGAACCAAACCTGCAATACCTGCAAGGTACCATGCATGTCCTTCTAAGAAGAGGCATTTAGGGCACAGACACACACAGAGGGAAGCCCGTGTAAAGACAAAGGTAGAAGAATGATTATCTACAAGTCAGGACAAGAGGCCCATAGAAGAAACAAACCCTGCAGTCACCTTGATTTTGGACTTTTAGCCTCCAGAACTGTGAGGAAATAATTTTCTGTTGTTTAAGCCACCTGATCTGTGGTACATTTTTAGGGCAGCCCTGGCGAACCAATATCACACTAGAAAACATAAGTGTTATTACTATTCAAAAAATGCAGAGAGAATCTACTTTACCAAATACTATCATAATACTTAATATACATCTACCTCCGTATTGCAAGACTGAGGTGAAATCAAATGTAAGTAACATCAATTTGTGT